CGACACCGCCGGCCGCCACAGCGGGCGCTCCAGCGTGACACCAGGTAAGTCCGGCGTCTGCTGGCGGACCGGAGCCCCGCCGCCCGGTGCTGGTCCAATTACGGGTCGTTACGGGGGTGGGCGTATGGCCCCCATCGGCAGACGGGTCGTGGGGGGAGTGGCCAGTTGCCATTCATCACTCGGGCCCACCCAGTGCGGGGCCGCCGGCGCCGGGCAAGAGGCCGTGTCTGCGTGAGGGCAGACCCCAGTGCGAAGCAGCGGCTCTCGAGCTCCGCCCCCACCGCCGCTTCAGCTCGGTCGCGTTCTTTGTACGCGTTCCGAACCAGCGACCCGGCCCCCAGGCGTGCCGGCCGCAACATGCCAGGCGGATTCGCCGTACACGGGCCGAGAACGCCCACTTGGCATCTTTCATTCGGCATGTCCGCTTCCGCCAGACACCGGCTGGCCGGGCCGACTCCAACACAGGATCCATGCGGTGCTGCCGAAGCCGCAGCCCAACGATCCCATCACCACGCCCACCGCTGGAGCGCCGACCGTTCACTTTACCACCTCCATCGCGGAACGCACGGACAACTTCGCAGGACGCAATGGTGACCGGTCAAACACGCGGCGCAGACAGCGGCGCGGACCAGAGCTGGCCACGACACGCGGCCGGTCCCCGCGCGGCGTCGGCGCGTCGACCGCGCATCCTGGCGGCCGGCTCAAAACAGCGCACACCAGACATTGCAGCTACCGGGGAAAAACCGACTCGGCCAGCGACTTTCTCACGTCATGACCGCACACCGCCGCCAGAGGGGATCTCCGCGGCCGGAGGCGGTACGGGGTGGGGAGGGGGGCGTGCCGGGCCGCCGCCGGATCGCGGCGGAGGCGCACCGATCAGCCGTCCAGCCGCGTCAGCGCCGCCCGGTCGTCACCCGGCCAGCGACGACGACGGCGGCGGCGCGGATGACGCCGGGGCGGGGCGGGGCGAGGCGGGGCTGGTGCGACTCGGCCCTGGTGTGGTGGTTGTGGTGCGGCTCGGTAGTGGTTCACTCGGTGGTTCACCCTGGTGTCGAATGCAGTCCTCTCGCCGTCCGTCCCCAGTTCGAACCGCTGCACGGTCCCCGCCCGGCACTCTCGCACCGTCCGGTCACACGCGTAGTAACGCATTCCCGTCTCACCCGAATTCCGCCCAAGTCCCCCAACTGCGTCCTTTCCTTCCCCTCACTCGAATCTCCCCGCCGCATGACAGCCTCACCACAAACAGACCCCTCCTACCGCGCGCTTACGTCCCGACCTCGATACTCCAATCATAGGCTCGCTTTGGTTCCGATCGAGAGTTGCCACCGGCAGCTCACATCGCCTCGGACCACGCAGGCGCGGCCGACACGCCAGCCAAACAACACCAGCCGCGGCTGGACGGCGCGACACACACCAGACGTGCCGGCCGACAGCGTTCTGACGTGGCAGGGAGACACGCCGCGAGCTGGACACGGCCAATCCCGGCGCGCGCCGCGCTCGTGACCGACTAATTAAGACATATGGTCCCCGGCGCCAATTTTCCGACGCTTTTCGCCGGTTCTTCACGCTGTCCGACTTCCAATTTCCGCGCGAACCCACTGAAACCGAACGCGTCCACCTGCCAGACTGACCGCGACGAAAAATCGTCTCGCACTCAATTTTTCACGTCCCGTCAGATCCTGCTGCGCCATGCAGTCCGGCACATCAGCGGCATGCTAATAACCGTCAGAAATTAATCCGGCGAAGATCCATCAGGAGCTAACGCGGCGGCGCAGCGCGGCGCGATGCCGCACTTTCAGGGGAGCAGCGGTGGCGGCGCACGCCGAGATCAGCTGACTGGGTCGCCCTGCGGGCCAAGGCCGGCCGATTAGAGGTCAGCCGGCGCCGAATCGGGGTCAGGTCCCGGACGGGCCGGCGCAGAATGGTTCGGCCTCCCCGGGCGCCGGCCTGGGTGTCAGAAGACAGATCTGCTGCTCCGCGACGGGACTAGATCACTCACGGCGAGCGACCGGCGGCGGAGAGCCTGCCACCGGCAGGATAACAGATTTCATCGGTGATTTGATAGCGGTGATTTGTGAGCGTCCGATGGTGCGGCTCGATGTACCGAATTGGCGCTCTGCTCGGGGTGCATCTTGTGGAAGACAAATGCGCTCGATCAGCAACGAGATTCAATTACGGCCCCGTGCCGTGATAACGCGTCAGCGAGATGTTTGGCCGATAAATCAACATTACCGTTCCCAAACCAAAACGAAACACAAACTACTACCATCACTATCGCCCTCAGTCCAAACAAGGACCCAGACAGATCCTCTCATATTTACCATTCAGTGAACGTGCACGTGAGACGCGTACACAAGACTTGCCCCTTAACGGAGAGCATTAATAAACAGCACGAGGTGGGTGCGGTAGAGAGTCCAATGACCCAGCGCATCACCGAATCTCTACAACACTGTAGCGCCAAACCGTGCGTATATTGCCGATTGCCCAGCTGCCCCCTGCCCCGTTAGCAAAGCCATCCTGGACATCCTGTACCTTTTTATACAGCCCCCGTCCGCACGAAAATAGAGCCACCGAGCGAACCAAACGCACATAATATTCCCAGACGGGCCCATGAAGACATGGAGCCTTGCCAGCCCAGACCCGCGCGCCATAAATCCCTGCACACCACCCGTTCCGGGCCCTCGTTAACTTGGTGGCAGGTATTGTCTCGGCGCACCGGATCCGGCCGTCGGCGCCGAAAATAGGCCGGTCCCAGTGGGCACGAGCCATTCCGGGTCGGCTGGCCGGCGCCGCCGACGGGGCGGGGACGGCCCCGCCCCGCCACCCGGCCCGGCCCGGTGACAGCGGCGCGGCCGTCACGCGCCGTCACGTTTTGACGAGCCCCAGCGCCGGACGACGTCAGGGCGCACGTCGTTGCGCGATAAGGCCGCGGCGCGGCTATTTCGACGCGGCCGCGGCGTGGCACGGCGCCGTCAAAAGTAAGAGCGCGCGGCGCCGACGGCCCGTTCACGGCGCCCCATCACTGTCGCGCGCTCTGTGACGGCCTCCGGGCTCGTTACGGCCAGGGCGCCGACGCCCGGCCGGCCAGTCACCGTTCGGAGAAACCAGCGGCAGCGCGGCGTCGTGACACACTCGGCCGGAAGCTCTCCGCGGGTAATCACGGCGTCTGCAGGATTTGCCGGGGTGAAGCACGCCTGGCTGCCAGTGGAGCCCCTCCGGAGGGCCGCGGCGCTGTGCGGTGCCCCAAATGCAGGTGCGCGAGAGGGACAGCAGCAGAGTTTTACGCTGTCGTGCTTGGTGCGAGCGCGCGTGACACTGAGAGGAGGACACTGAGGACACTGAGGGGAGCACTGGGATACCTCCAGGAGAAGGCCTCTTCACGACGCAACCAAAGTGGGATGGGCTTCGAAAGCAAACTGGCCACAGAGGAACGCTTCGGACCATTAAAAGGAAAACAGCCATCGTGGAGAGGCATCGCACGGGCACTAAATCAACACACCCCGCAAAAACAGGAGTTCCAATGACGCGTAACATAGCAAGACACTTGAGAAGACATTGCTTGACAAAGAGACGCCTGACAAACAAGACCACGGCTCACGCCACGGGCGAGGCACCAGCCAGACCGAAACAGTGGGCCATTCGTGGACTCTGCCCAATGTCAAAGCCAGGAGCGTGCGCGGGGACAATGGAAGACCGGCCATACCCCGTTTCCTACTAATGGTCTTCAGGAAACACAGCATAAGTGGAATCTGGGTCAGGGTCCCCGGCCGTCCCGTCGCTTGCAGCACGTGACGTTTAAGACATGTTTCGCGAGATCGATGCGAAGGACGAGCTACACGCAACCTCCCGCAATTGGGCATGACCAAAGCACGAGAATAAAAAACAAAACAATAGCGCGCCACACGATTCGTTTGCCCCAGTCAGCTGCCGTATAGAAACTAAGCCGAGGGTTTTAATAACTTGAGGAGCAGGCACGCCAGAGCCATTCCTCTCAGAACAGAGGGCGGAGACGACCCTCGAGCTCACTGTGAGCCCAATCACGAAGGCTGCCGCTATTCCACAGAGGCGACCTCACGACCGCGCAGATTTTTGCCGAGCTGCCATCTCGGGTGGCCATCCCGCCGTTTTATAGGGCCATCAGCATTGAGTTCAGCCATCAGCGGGCCGGCGCTCTTTATCCGACCTGCACTTGTCCCTTCATAACACAAAGGGTGGCGGCGAACAGACTGGGCACCATGAACAAAGAACCCCTCGAACTCGCCAGCGGGGAGCACGGCCCGCTGAATGGTGCTCATCACCGCCAGTTAGACGGAGGGAGCGCTCAGCTCGCACTTGTCACGATCCATGCCACCCAGGGAGGTAACGGGGCCCGTGCCTCAGCAGCACAGAGACTCTCCTCACAGTGAATGAGGTACTGCAGTCTGATTTCGCCTCCTAAGCAGGACCCCACCACCTGACCGACCTCTCCGCAGCCTGATCCTCCGCAGGGTAGCAGCTCCTGACCGATCTGTCCAGCCCAATCCGGTTAAGACCTGCCCAGTCCAGTTCGGTCCAGTCTAGATCTGTTCAGCCTAGTCTAGTCTAGATCTGTTCTGTTCAGTTCAGTTCAGTTCAGTTCAGTTCAGTTCAGTTCAGTTCAGTTCAGTTCAGTTCAGTTCAGTTCAGTTCAGTTCAGTTCAGTTCAGTTCAGTTCAGTTCAGTTCAGTCCAGTCCAGTCCAGTCCAGTCCAGTCCAGTCCAGTCCAGTCCAGTCCAGTCCAGTCCAGTCCAGTCTAGACCCACCCAATCCAGCTCAGTCCAGTCTAATCTGTTCAGTCCAGTCTAGACCTGCACAATCTCGTCCAGTCTAGATATGTCCAGTCCAGCACGCCAGCCTTCGGACTGGCACACCTTGGTGCCTCACAGACTCAACCCCCACTCCACACCGAGCTCTCCTCATGGTCCGCCCCGCCAGACTGACCCCTCGCCACACATGACCCCAGTCTGACCCCAGCGGCTCACCTCCAGGCTGATCTCGTCGCTGGCCTGCGCCACGTAGCGTTTGCCGACCAGCGCGGCGGCCACGGCCGGCGTGTTGATGTCCGAGTCGTCGGCCACCAGCAGCCGGTTGCCGCGGTTGTCGAGCTCGAACCAGTTGAGGATCGGCGCGCAGTTGATGAGCGGCCCGGCGATTTGCGAGAACCGGTGCAGGTAGTCGGCCACCAGCGCCTCCACCGCCTCCTGCAGCAGGGCGGGGCAGAGCGGCCGGTCAGTCAGGGCTCGCGCGGCACCGCCACCAGACGTCCACCGGCCGGAACGCACGCACATACGGCAAGGCGGCAGCGCTGGCGGGAACACAGTCAGCAGAGAGCAGCGCTTGAAATGTCTGACACGCACATGACTTGATCAGGATGCAGTGCCGGAAGCATCAGGCGAGACCAAAGCGATGCCACCATTGAGACGCAGCCAGATGCCACCATTCAGATCAACTTTTGTCGGGTCCAGGCAGCCGACACAAGCAGGTGCACACACCCATGCCTTTCCCCGTGTAGGGAGCCCTGCTCGAGCCTGCACACCGAGTCACATCCCCGCACCGTCACCGAGCTGTCCGCCACAGCCGGCAGCGCGGCGCCGGCCACCGCTGACCGGCTCGCCGTTGTCAGCGCGCTCAAAACAGACGCCAGACGCAAGAGTTCTCAATCAATACCGCCATCGATCAATTACGGGCCGCGCGGCGCCGCAGCGCACCATCTATCTCCAGCTGGCCTATATACGGGCGTGGGGAGGAGGACGCGGCGGCGGCGGCGGCCGGCCAAGCCGCCATCGGAGAGCCGTTGGCACCAACCCGACCGGCGCCCGGTTTTTTACGCGCATCTCGCAAGCATAACAGACGGACGCGGCCGCCGCCGGCGAAACTCCATCACCGCTGCGGGCATTTATCACGCGCCAATCGGCACGGCAGGGGTGAGCCAGTGACGTCACTCGTCAGCTCCGACGCAGCGCGCGTGCACCGGCGCCCGCGCCGCGAATCAGCCAGCCGGCCGCTGCAGCCGGGGCGGCGCCAGACAGCGCGGCGGCGCGAACGCGGTCCAGATTGGCAGCTCAATCTCCACCGGCCGCTGCGCCCGGCGCTCTCAACCGCTGCCGGCTAGCGTGGGATATATGGAGTGAACACTGCGGGCCCGGGGAAATTCACTGCAAATCAGCTTCTCGGAAACGGGTTCGGCTCACACAAATGCAATTTCGGCCCTAGGACTGTAATCCGGCGCGCGAGGTAGAGCCATGACATGGGCACAATCCGATGGAGGTTCCCAGCGGGGCCCCAGGCAACGAGCTCCATCGGTCCATGAACCTAAAACAAAGCGTTCACGGTCACATGGGGACCGCACTGCAGTTGCGCCTCACCCGCGAGACCACCGAGCTCGCGCTAGGACCGCGCGCCGGCACCGCCAGAGCCTCGTCAGCCGGACCTGGCTCCACCGCCACCCCGTCCCAACGACCCCTGCGGCAATCCCAGCCAGAGGAGAGCGCATTAAGCGGAGGGCGTCCGGCGATAAAGCCCGGGTCGCCGCGAGCAGCGCACGGCCATTAACTGAACGGCCGCCGCCTCACCGACCGATAACGAACGGCCCCCGCCCGGCCGGGCACGTGACCGGAAGCGGCGCCGTTCCGGTGCCGTCCGAGCCACGCGGCGCTGCGCCTGGCCGGCCCGCACCGCGTCCGCCGGCTAAATGAATTAAAGGAGATTGAAAGCCGCCATGAGACTCCGAGGTTGACTTTCGAAATGACGGTAATTCGTGATAAGCACCGCTACCACGAACTGGAGGCGATCGGGCGGGCGAGCGGCCGTGTGAACGTGAACGGCTTTCGTAACTAGATTGCCTAGATTGTTCGCTTCAGACCTCACCAGGCTCCGATTAGCCCTGGGTAAGATAGATTGCCTGTAACAGCAGCGTGTAGTGAAACATCACCGCAAACGCTCGGCTATCATATTCGAAAACGCTCGGCTACCATATTCGCAAACGCTCGGCTACCATATTCGCAAATGCCCGGCTACCATATTCGCAAACGCTCGGCTACCATATTCGCAAACGCTCGGCTACCATATTCGCAAACGCTCGGTTACCATATTCGCAAACGCTCGGCTGCCATATTCGCAACGCTCGGCTACTATATCCGCGCACGTTCAACCCGCCATCGGACCACAGCGCCACTCGAGTCCCGCGTTCAGGACGCTCGGCTGTGTGGCGTTACGGCGCTGACCGCGGCCCTGTAACCCTGACAGGAGATCAGCGGGGCCGCGGGGCTGACCCTTGACAGGGGCCGCGCGGCGGGCCACATCTGCCGTCACGTCTCCTGTCAGTCGCCGACAGGAACACGGGCAGGGCGCCCGGCTGCTGGCCGCCCCAACAATGCCTGCCGGAGGGGCAGCACCGCTGTACAATGTGTGCTGCACGTCATCGCCGCTTGGGTGCACCTTTCCAGGCTTCTGAGGCAGCACGACTCACAATGTTTCTGGATTTGAAGAAGCAACTTACGAGGGTTCACCACAGAAAAAGTTTTCCAACCAAGGCTTCCGTCATTCCTCCGGGAATGCAAACCATTCCCGGGTACATTTCAGCACAGAAACCGGAATCTCCATCGCCGTATGTCTGGCGGGAGGTCACGGTCGGAACCCCACCTGAGCACTGGCTGTCTCAGGTGCCCAGCCTCCACCGCTGCCGCCTCCGAGCGCTCCCGCCTGGCGACAGGCCCCAGTCGCGCCGGGACGCGGCCCCCGACGGAGCGCGCGGCGCCGCTCGTCGCGCGGGCAGCCGCCGCGCAAACTGGGTCGCCACCGGGGAGCAATAACAAACGCAAAACCAGCGTCCGCTAATGAAACGCAGTCGGCGCGAGCACGGCCGCCCGCCGCTCCCACCGCTACACAAACACGGGCTGGCTGCTGTGGACTGGCCACCGGGGGTCGGGGGGGGGGGAGGGGGCGGGTCAGACGAGCGGAGCGACGCACCAGCCCCCGGACAGCGCCGCGTTCCCGACCGACAGCGTGCCGCTTCAGAGCCGCCGCCGTCGGCCGGACGGCGCGGCGGCGCCGCTCGACGACGTCGTCGACGTCGACTGCGGGCGCGTGGCGCGGCGTCGGCCGGTGCCGCACCATTTGCCAGCTGTCCGGTCACTAGAGCCCGGAATGAGCCTGCGGTCACGGTCCGCTCCGCTCCGCCTGCCCCCCCCCCCCCCTCCCCCCGCCCATGGCGAGGTGCGGAGACACAGCACAGGCGCGCGGCGACGGATTCCCGAGGCCCGGGCCAGCCAAACGCCGGCGACTGCCAGCAAAACGAGCACTCGCGAACACAAACTTCATTCAAGCTCAAGGCGAAGGGAGGAGTGTGGCTCCCAAACAAACTGCCGTCGAATCGCCATACACACAACCAGTTCTCAAACAAATTCATCACCCAACATGGGCAATCCGTCTGCCCACACCTGTTCTTCTCGGGGTAACGCTTCTGAAAACGCCCCTTCAACTCACCACAGACATCAACGGCACCACACACCGGAAAACCTCAAACGATATCGGAATTTCGTCCAAGTGGACGTGTGTACGGGCCTCCTCTGGCGGTCACGTGCGTCGTGACTCCTCCCGCCTGGTCTCACGTCTGCCGTCACCGGGACCGCGTGGTGGCGGTGAGCACCAAGGCCTCATACGCGAGTTACTACCGGCACCTTCGAACCAGCAGGCCATGTACGGGGCAGCACCGGCGCCTCGACACGCAGAAAATGCCAAGGCTTCACAAGCGGCATGTACCAGGGCCTCCTCCAAGTATGTGCCGGCACGCGTCACGTACCGGCCCATGCTCACACGTGGTCAGCGCCGCCGCCATGCCCACGCGTGTCGGCCGGCCCCGGCGCCCCGCCACGCGTCCGTGAGCGTCGCCGGCGCCGGCCGGGCCGTCGGGCGCCGCTCACCTGTGGGGCCGGCCGTCGCTACCTGTCCCGATCGATCGACCGTTCGGCAGCCATAGCGACCGACGAGATGAGCCGGTCAACAGACCGGCCGGCGGCGGCCGGCGGCACGCTCACCGCCGGACACACCGGCGCTTCCGTCAGGCGGCGGCCGGCGCACGCTCACCGCCGGACACACCGGCGCTTCCGTCTGGCGGCGGCCGGCGCACGCTCACCGCCGGACACACCGGCGCTTCCGGCCGGCGGCGGCCGCCAGCGGCACAGGTGCGGCGCGACGGCCGCGGTTCGCGAGCGCGCCCGGGCACAGGGCTGGCCGAATCGGGGCCAGGCAGCGGACGCGGGACCCAGGCGGGGCATTGTCCGTTCTCGGGGTCGGTGACAATTACCCGGTTTACATGGGCAGCCGAGGATAATTCGAATTAAGATCGGAACGGATCATGCGACGTTAACCCTCTCGGCGAGGGGCGTTTACATGGGCGAAACCGGCTTTACGTCGGATTAACGGTCGATAGTTCGATCCCGCTTAGTTCGAATCAAGGAACGCATTATGGGCGAAAACTGCGCTTTTGAGGCGAACTGAACAAAACAAGAAGAAAAAAGCAGGTACTCTGCGTATGGATGGCGAATGTCACGGGCCATGGTGGGCGCGAGACAGCTTTGAGGGCGAGGAGGAAGATGGACTCCGTTGGAAAAATGATCTGTGCGGGACTCATAGGCTTTATAGCTACAGCACAAGCCATAGCACTTGAAACACAAGAGTTGCGCAGTCAGCACTGCCAAATCTGTCACATAAACAGTGTTATATGCAAATTTTTACTAGCGGGAAACTTTGGCTAGCAGGAAATCAGTATTTTCTTGTATTGGCCAACGACACTCACAAACTTACCACACTCATATCAGTATGCCACCCAGCATCATGTCATCTACTTTGCGCAGCCCAAGAAACACATTACCTACTCCCACACTAATGCATTTATGAGCAGCCTGCAACAGTGAGCTAAGCTACAGAAATGACTCATGAATGCTATATAGTTAGTGGCAAAAATTGTGTAACTATGTTGTCTTTCCCCATCCAATGCATCATCAGTACCTGAGGGCAGCATTGCCATTTAGACTTGGCATGGACTGGCAAGTCAGAATGCAGCTATTTGCTTTCTTGACATACTAGGGTTGAAATACTGCTTTGATATCCTTGCAGTCAACAGCATTGGCTGATATGGACTGATGGCTAGGTGGCACAAACAGCTGTGTTCGCACAGTCCAAAGATCATAACATGTGAACC